TGGGTTGTTTGGATCGGATAACTTACGCCTTTGCTACCTTCCCATAGCGATAAGATAGGCCAGTAAATGTAGTCTCGTTCAATCGCAAAACTGATTTTCCTCACGTCCTTTGGGAACTCAAGATTTCTTTTTCTTTTTTTTTTTTTCAAAGGCAACCTTTTTCCATGTGTTGGTGTGGTTTGGACAGTATTCTTAATTACCATCCTCTAGTGATTAATTGCAAGATTCCTTTTGGAAGACTAGGAATGAACTTGTGATTCTCTTACACTTACCTCATAATCACCCTCTCTGTCCTAGTTATACTGAGTTTATTCGGATAAAAACAAATAAGGCAAATCATCCCCTACCCCTTTCTACTCTTGAGGAAACCTTGTTATCCAACCTAGCACCGTCTTTCGACTAACGTAAACAGCATCAGCAATAATTTACCTAGTGTAAACTAAATAAGTTGGCTTATATTCTGGTCTTTTATTTTGTTTATGTTTTGTCCAAACAGTGAAACCACATACATGGCATAAAGCAGAAGTCATCAAATGCTGTGTATTGTATGTATATATATGTATATGTAATATATACATATATACATATATATGTATATATATGTATATGTATATATATTCACACACACACGCGCGCACAGCCACACACACAACACACGCACAGACACACACACACTGTCTATATATGTATAATATATATATATATATATATATATATATATATATATATATATATATATATATAAAATCATAACATCTTCGAAGTATAGATGGCGAAATACACACACACACGAATCAAAAAAAAAAAATAAAAGAATTTGTCTCGCGGAGAATGGCACCAGGTGCGTTTCGATGATCGTTATGGCCTCATCTGTTTCTAACTCCTATAGATTTTCCATATTTTCAATAGATATAGCATACTTAGTCTGAGATATGGGATTGAATACATTGAGGCTTCTCGTTTTTATGGCGCCGATCGTATCAGCTAAGAGAATTCCAGCGCCTTCTATGTGACTGGAAAGGTATTCGGTACTTTTGAGAGCTATTGGCATTTGGGTTCCTTGCCGTTTATTGTAGATAAGTCTGTTTTTTTCTAGCGAATACTGATATCAATCGAGA